CCCCCCCCCCCCCCAACGCCCGTTCTCAGCTCACCTGGTCTGGGAAACGCCCTGCACAGCAGCACCTGCACTCTGGGAGCATTGGGCTGAGAGAGCCCAGGACCCAGCCTGTGCAGAATGAGAGGCCAAACTGGCATAGAAGCAGCTGGGATATCTAGCAGATCTGTTTGCAGCTGGTAACATGGAGACTTGCTTCCCTGCCCCAGGCCCCTGAGCGTGTTTGTGGCTTGCTCTCTAGGGGGGGGGGGGGGCTGAGCTGGGGAAGTGGGGAAGCTGGCCTGGGGAGTACGTTGGGGTTGATCACTGTATTTCATCATCTTGGAATTTTTTGGGTGGGGGAGAAAATTGGGAACTAGCCAGTTCCCCCTTACAGCATTAAACATGGCCATTGAGGCCCAGTCCTGCTGTCACTGACTTCAGTGGGAGCCCATAGAGTTTACACACCCACCACTCTGTTTTGCAGAACTCCTGTGTTCTATATCAACTCACTGCTAATGCTTTAGATCCAGCTCCTCCTCTCTCTTGCCCTAAGCCTGCCTGACCGTCTCTTTGCCCTGTCCCTACTCCTCTGTCAGAGCGCGAGGCCTACCTGCAGCCGGGGCTCCAGCTGGGAGACAAGGAAGCAGTTGCGGATCACCTGCACCTTCTTCCTCAGGAGAGCCCTGTCCGGCATGGCGTGATGGGCATTCTTGAACTTCTGCACCTCCAGCTGGAAGTGCAGGCCGTGCTCCAGCACAGGGGGGCCATGGACCTGCAGGTGTTTGAGGAAGTGCAGCATCTCCAGGGTGGGCCAGCCTTCGGCAGCAGCCCTGAGGAATTGGCAGAAGGAGGCCTTGTCTTCCTGGCTGGGCTGGGCTGTAGCTACTGACCCCACCGCGGCTTTCCTGTTCTTTAGACGCTTGAGGGCCACCTTGGCAGCCAGCAAATGCAGGAGTGGCTGAAGTTTGGGCCAGCCCTCGTCTTGCATCTGGGAGGGCTGTACTCCGTGCCTGTCCAGCCCCTCGCTCACCTCAGCCCAGAAGCTCTCGAAGGCCGGAGCAACGTGCGCATACAAGGCAGCTTGGATTTCATCCATGCTTGAGTTGCTTACTCCTCCCTGGCCCACCTCTGCCCTCAGTCTCTTCCTCAGCTCCCTGGGGAGGGGAGGAGTCAGCGGCCCAGCCCCTTGCTGGTCCCAGAGGTCCAGGAGCTTCAGCACACAGCTCAGCCGCATCCTGCCCTCTGGGGCTGCCTGGCACCGCTCCAGCTTCTCCAACAGCCCCAGCACCCTCTGGAGCCCTGCATCTTGCATTTCCTGAGCCGCCTTTCTGTAGGCTTTGAAAACCACCTTGTTGTTGAGCAGGTCCAGGGCACGCTGGGGTGTCACTGACCCTTCCCCGCTTGCCAGGCCAGCCTGGCCTGAGCCCTGGGGCTTGGCCGCTGCTTTCTTTCGCCGCCTCCTCTGCTGCTCTCTGCCTTCCTGGGCATGAAAGCTGGTATTTTCCTTCCTCTTCCTGGCCCTGCAAGGATGCAAACAGGTTCTCAATACAGCCATAGCACATCAGGCTATGATCTTGTTGGAGCTGATAAGCTGAGCGGCATCAGGCCTGCTTTGTGCTTAGATGGGAGACCCTTCCCCCACTCCACAGCCAGGGAAACCAAGAAGCAGTGATGGTGGTTTTGAGGGGGTATCTACACCGAGTCTGTGCTGTCCCTATGTCCTCACATGATGCTGGTGGCTGCTGTGCTGTTGGAGATGTTTTTCAGGGCCTGACCACTTACAGTCATTGTAGATCCCATGAGACGGAGGGGTTGTCCTAGCCCTATTCCAGGGCAGGGAATTGTATCCTGCCTCCTAACTTCCCTCTGCAGTGGGGTGCTGTGTTCTTCATGTCCTCTGCAGTGTTTGTGTGATGGGGAAATAGCTGCCTTAATCCACCCCAGACGCAGCCGTATGCCAGTGGAGGGCACAGTGATTCTCAGCTCGAGAGTTCTGTGAAGTGATTTGGGTCTTTTCGCAAATGAGGGGTAAGATCGAAATATAAGATCATTATCAGCATAGCAGCCTTCATTCCCTCTGGGCATCAGGGCTCTATCGTGCAAATATCACCAGAGCACACGTTCTTAACTAGACGCGTGCCGTAGAGGCTACCTACACACAGTGGGGACAGTGGGCAGCAGGGGCTTGACTAAAACGGCTGGAATTTTAGCTGTGAAAATGATTCATCAGCTTGGTAACACCTCTGGGAATCCAAATGTCCAACTGGACACCTGAGTTCCTTTTGCAGCACTCACAAAGCCGGGTTTGCCAGCGCGAATCCCAAGCAACTGTGTCCCCTTTGCTGAGTTCAGATAAAGAAGTACCTGTCTCTTCTCTGCTTTATTCTACTGTCTTTGCTCCTGACATCCTGCACTTCCAAGTAAGAGGCTGGGGTGCAGTACCTGCAAGAAAGAGGGTGGCACAGAACAAATGAGCCAGGTGGGCAGTTGTCTCGCTTAGAAGCAGAGTTTAAAAGATTTTTGCGACGCACATTGGCCGAGTGGAAATAATTCTCTCAAGCTGCCGCCAAAGCTGGAAGTGAATGAAATACCCAGGCCAATCCTTAATTTAGCTGCTCCACTCTCAAGTGGAGGTGCTGTCAGGAGTGGAGCAGGAACGCTGGCTATGGAGCAGTTCCCAGCTACTCCAGTCCTGGCCTCCCACAGCAGAAGGGGCTGTAGGGAGAGGAGCAGGAGCCCTGGCTGTGGGGAGAGTTCATAGGTACTTTCAGCAGGCCAAGTGCAAGAAGGTAGTGGGTGAGCACTGGCTTTGGGGCAAGGGGGAGCTCCTAGATTACTCCAGTCTGAGCTCCCAGCAGAAAGTACTTCAGAAGATGGTGCAGGAGCACCTACTGTAGAAGGCCTGAATCCAGGACTGCCAGCATTTTGTTTGAGGCTGCAAAGAGCCAAACTGCTCTGAGAGGAGGAGTAAGGCCCTTCACTGGGTGCAGTTAGGGAGCTTTCTGAGATGTGTCCGTGGACAAAGCAAGAACTGAATTCTCCCATAAACCACTTCTCTCCCCCTTGCCTGCCAGTGCCTTACACCCAGGTCTGGAAACCAAAGAAGAGGACCCAAGGCTTCTTGGGACTCACTCCAGGAAGGTGGCTATCTCATAGCGGAGGTAGCGGAGCCAAGCCTCACAGAGAACAGCGAGCACATGCTGAGCCACTGGCTCCAAGGCCAAAGGCTCTAGAGGTTGGTTGCTGGAGCTGAGCATCTCCTGGAGATGCTGGATGTAATGTGGCATATCGGAGCTGAGTCCTGCAGGGAGAAGAAAAGCAGAGCAGAGCGGTGGCCTAGGATTCCATCTTCAAAGGCAAGTTCACTAGGGCAGGGAAGTAACATGCAGCCACTCGACACGAACCCTCCTCCAGTGCACCCCTTTGCACTGGTTCTCCAGAGGAGTCCAAGGAAATCTCCCCATAAGGCAATGTGTTGGTCCCCAGCTGCCATTTGTGGAAGACAGTGGTGCAGCAAGTCTACTTGAGCAGGAAACTCTCCCCCGACCCTATACACCGGCCTGTGCCTCCCATGTGTCCCTACAACTGCGATGAGCTGTGGTAGAGACTCCCCTCCCAGAGGATGGGCTGCTTCTCTGGCTTCGGGAATTCACTGGGCTATTGCTCCCATTCTAGACCTTCTGTCACTGGGACTATGGAAAATGGGTCATTTAGCAGCTGAATGAGCGGGGGCAACTTGCTTTCCAACCTCAAATCCATTTTGGGTAGCTGCAGGTTCAGACTCAGACTGTCCCTCTAGACCCCTGAATGTTTTCTGGTACCACATCCCCACTCACTTATGTTCTCCAGCACCAATAATTTTGCTCATTAGTCCCTACGGTCCCCCTGGTGCAGGTCTCTGGGATTCAGCCCGGGATCCCCACGCACACCCAGCTGCAGCTGAATCCAGCACCAAGTGGATTTGGCCATTGAATGCAGATGGTGCGGAAGAGCCAGTTATCTGGGAGCTCACCGACATCACATGGCGCACTATGCACCAAGTACTTGTGGAAGATCTGCCAGGCTGAGCGGTGGGGTTTGAGCCGGTCTGCCTGCCACTCCCAAGTGCCCTGGTGCTCTTCTAGCGCTTGCCACAGCTGGAGGTTATGGACCTTCTGAGCATCCTCAAACCTGGAGGGTAAGCAGGGAAGGAATGTGCATCAGCCTGGAGGAGTGTGAACAGTGAATTAGTCACGTCTCCTCTGGAGCGGCCAGCAGGGATAGAGCCCAGCTGGCTTGTACAAGGCTGTATGGTGGCCCCTGGAGAAAACTACCATAACCCAACATTTGCCTCTGATCCATCAAGTATCTGTCGCAGCTGGAGGCAATGCAGCAGCAAAGTCTACATTCCCCTGCTCAGTCAGCTGGCTGAAAAGGATAAGGACAGGAGAGAGAGACTCACCTGGTCAGGTAGTGAAGAAAGCTCCCCCCAGCCCCAGGATCACACATTAGTGCTTGGAGGAGGTGGGAGCAGGTCAGCGGTGTGTCAGGGAGATTCCATGGGAGGTCTGGCTGCCGAGCGGACGCAATCCTGCCTCGCCAGCTTGCACCAGCGTGCGGAAGCTGCAGCGGCTGGACAGCAAGAAGAGGTTTTCAGTGCTATATTCATTCTGACCCTCACTGCTGACTCTCCAAAGGTGACAGAGAGCTGCCTCAGGCCCTGGCCAGAGACAGATCCCCAATGAGAGAAGAGGAGCCCCACAAAATAACCCCTTGCTGTGTTACTGCTAGCGATCCTGCATGGCAGGCAGCTGGCTACTAACAGTGCAGAAGGACATCTCAAGTACTCGGGGAAGAACTTGGGCTGGAGCAGAATTGGTCTGTCTTCTTTTATGGCCCTTCTCACCAAGGCTCTATTCATTCACCCCCTTTACAAGCCCTGCAGCTCCTGTCAGGGGCTGTCTACACTGGTGCTGATCATTTCCAGCCCGAGGAGACATACCCATGCTAGCGCCATCTTCTAACAGAAGCGTAGCTGCAATGGTGCAACTAACGGGAGGCCCTAGCCACCCTGAGTACAATTTCATCTGAGACCCTAGCCTCACTCTCAGGGGGGCTGCTCCTCCTTTCATTCACGTCACTGCGGCTACATGGCTATTTTTAGTGCATTAAAAAGAGTTTGACCAGAGCTATTGCAGGTATGTCTACTCGGGCTGGAAATTACACCTCCAGCTCTAGTGAAGACATGCCCTCTGTCTCAGAGACTCAGGTTGTGGTGAGCTGGGGAAGAGGGGACTTACACATGCCATCCTCTGCTCCATCACTCAAACAGTTATGTGCTGTGACCTTCGTGTTAGAGCTAAGGCCGCCCCCCCCCCCAACTAGCCTAGTGTTCAGGGGGCCTGTGATTCTGCTGGTGCCACCTCTGCCTCCTATACCATTTTGGTGGTGTCCCTGCCACAAGCTTGGTGGCTGTCTGCCCCACCTCCCACAAGGCAATTACAGAGCCACCCTTATTTTGGATGGCAGGGTGTTGTGTCCACAGGCTGTTAACCTGCCTCAGTATTGGATTGTGTCACGTTGGGAAGATACCCGCAGAGAGACACACACAATATCCAAACCATGCTCCCTGGAGGCGTTACGTACGCTGAACCAGTCTGCGCTTCTATTCATGTGGCTCATGCAGCCATCACCCACAACAGGAAGCGACGCAAACACCTTGAGTGAAGGCAGGAAGTCAGTGTTCACGGGAGGCCTAGGCTTGGTCTGGGAGCCTGAGGTGGGGACAGTCCTACCATGGAGTCAAAATAAATACGTAACAACACCCTGCTTTCCAACATATCAGTCTCTTCATTTTAAGAGGGGAGAAACTGAGCCAGAGGGAGAAGGCGGGACTGACTCAAGGTCAGGCAGGAAGTCAGTGGGAAGAGAACCCAGCTCCCCAGTAGGAAACTATGCCCCAGTCCTCTAACCACTGGATCTCACTCCCCTACTAGGTCCAGGAATAGAACCCAGGAGTCCTGATTCTCAGCCCCTGCTGTAACCACTGGATCCTCCCTCCTCAAGGCCTCTGCAGTTAGTGAGGCCAGCAGGGGCTGTGGAGTCTGGGAAGAGCTCCAGCAAGCTTGTGGCTTGTCCAATACAGCAGCAGGCCCTGCCTCCTGAGAGCTACAAAAGGAGGAGCTTTCCCTCCCCACACCCCATCATCTCCTGGATGGTTCCCATTGCACGAACCTGAGGTGTCTGGTTCTCTGGTGGTGGAGGAGAAACCTGGGAACCCAGTAGGCGCGCAGGCGTCTCAGAGCATCGTACTGGCTCCTGCTGAAGGCAGTGAAAGTTGCCTCGATTCCGTCCTGAGCCTCGCACGTCGGCTCCTGCCAGCAGAGAGGGGAGAAGAGCACACGTCAGCCACACCACCTCTCCCCATTGCCCAGGCCAGCCACTCCCACCAAGCCACACTGTGCTCTGGGGTCAGAATATCCCACTGCATCCCTGCTTGAGCATGGATCAGTCTTGGTTTCCTCCACCCTCTGCCTAGGCTTGGCTCCAGCAATGTGCTTTAATACCAAGGTCCTCAGTCTAGTGCCTTTGTGACACCAAGGAAGAGATCCCAACGCTCGGCTCCATGGGGATCCCAATGTGATGCTGATGCCCCTGATTGGGTCGTCGGCAGTGGGGATCAA